AAAAGCTAAATATTTAGAATCTTTGCTATTAAATTCACTCTTTAGAACTATATAATTTATAGTCCTGAAGAATAAGGTTGTTAGCAAAGATTCAATTTGTTTTGTATCTGTAATTGATTTAAAGAAATATTAATAAATGATTCTTTTTGCAATATAATATATATTTAAAAAAATTTGTAATATATATAGTATAACTGTTTATTACTAATTTCTGATATTTTATAATCTTTATATAGGTTGTCAAATATAAAAATTACTATTTTTTATTAAATTTCTAAATTTATTTGCTGTTATATATATTATATCAGATATATTTTTTAATATTTTAAGGCTCTGATATCTGAGAATTAGTATTAATTGCTATTCAAAGATTTGTATCACTTGTCTTTTATATTAATCATATAAAAAGTCTTTAGTATATCTAATATATATTTAAAAAGACCAAGATTTAAAATATACATTCGATCAAAGACGATAGTTCAATATATATTAAAATTGCTTAAAAATAAAAAAAAATAAATGTATTTATTATATTACTTATTTAATAAAATAAAATTATAAATCTTTTTATTTACAAATAATCAACTTTTTCCGCTAATCATCAAAACACAAAATTTCAGAAAAATAAAAAGTATCAAAAAACATAAAAAACACACAAGAGTCACTAAGAAACTAGTCTTAGGCCCCTAAGTAAAGAGGAAGAAGACAACAAGAAATACTCAGTCTTTTAAGAGACTTGGGTAATAAAAACAGAAGCGGCAAAGAAATAGAAGAAGTCGTGAAAAATCAGTGATATTTTTTTGCACTTTGTGAACTTTGGAGGAATCGGTCTTGATCCTGAATTGCAGATCTGTTTTGATGATACAAGAATTACAACACGTAATGAAAAATAAACAAAGTAAACATGACAAAAACCATATGACAAAAGTAAACAAAAATGGTAAACAACTATAGCAAACAACAACAACAAACAACAGTAGTCGGAAAACAATAAGTCACATGAAGCAAAACAATAACAGAAAGTTCTGAAAAAAATCGGTTATAGCAAAATTAACAAAGATGAAAGCAAAAGAAGTACTGTATTTTCCCAACATGTATACCCTCGTGGGCTATACCCTGTAGCAATTTAGAGTGCCAAATTTTGATTTATACCCGGGTATATAAGTATGGAAATATCATACTTATGTATCTGGGCATATAATAGTAAAACATATCAAAAACATAGAAATATTTGTACAGTATACCCCCTCTACACACGTACCCAGGTACTAAAATGGGCTAGGGATATACTCCGGGTACACATGTTAGGAAAATACGGTACATGAAGATATAGAGATGTATAGACAAGGTTATATTAACTTTGATACACTAGAAGCTATGAAAGAGGTAATAGCAGATATCCAGGGCTTAAAAGTAGCAATATCTGACAAAAAAATAAACATAGATATAAAAATATAATGGCAGAATATGTTGAGCAAGAGCTCATTCCAAAAAAAATAGCTGACAAAAGGATAGCAAAGCTCTATGAAGAGTTATGGTACTATAATATAGGAAAAGCAAAATATACAGAACTTGCACTGATAGAAAGAGAATATGAGGTTTTTCTTGAAGCAATTCAAGATAGAAAAGACTCTGTTCATTGTATTATAATAGAAGAAATAGTTAGTTACATAGTAGAATTAAGAATGGCCGATAGAGTTAGAAGATTATTAGTAGAAAAGAAAAAACAATATGCCGAATTAAAAGTGAAATTAGAAGTAGGTTGAAGCAAGAAACTTCAAAAACAAAGAAAAAGCTGACAAAGACAGCTCAACAAAATAGCACTGAATTCTATAATACATTAGTTCAAAGAATCCATCAAGATTACAGCATCAAACCAACAAGAAACAAGAAAAGAAATAAAAGAAAAGAAAAAAATACAAGTTCAACAAAAAAAAAGACAAGTTGCTAAAATAAAGTCGAAGTTGGATATAGATTGGAGCAAAAGACTTCAAGAACAAAGAAAAACTCAACAAAGGCAGAATAATAATTCAGATTTAAGAACTCTATTAATATATTTTAAAGTATTCGTTGAACTCGCCCTAGCATGCCAAAAAAGAAAAAGAAGAAAAATTAGAAGAGAAAAGCAAAACAAAAGCAAAGAACAAGACATTTCTGGTCTCACAGAGGCTAAAGCACTAAACAAGATTCAAGAGGAATCAAGACCAAAAATTATATTTGCGATTCCAAAAGATTGGTTGACAGAAGTAATATATCAAATTAGTATTAAGGATGATTTACAATATAATAAGAAAATGTGGAAAAAGACAAAAAAAGATCTGTTAGTGAAATAGATATATGGATAGAAGTCTCATTGGACCTTGAATACAAACTCATCGCAGAGCACAGTAACACCTAGGCTATAGAGTATTAAAAATTGAAAAAAAAAGAAGGACACATTATTAGAAATACTAGAAAAGATCTTTGTAAAACATCTTAAAAATCAAATAATCTTTAACAAAATACAAGAAAGATTCTTGGAAAGAAGACCAAGTTTCAGGAAAAAGAAGAAGAGTAAAAAGACCAAGAGAAGAAGAAAAAAAACTCTTATACCCAGAATACAAAAGAAAGAGAACTCAAGCAAACAGATTAAGACCCCAAAATGAAGAAATGAAAAGAAAACTTAAAGTACCTAAAGGAAAAGAAAATGTATAGGAGAATATTCTTGAAAGAAACTGATAGATAAAGCCTTTAAGCAGAAGAAGAAAAAAAGTATGAAGCCTTAAACCAGGAAGGAAAAGTTATAAAAAAGATCACGAGAAAACCCTCAAGACCTGGGTCTTAAATTGAAAAGGACAGGTTGAACTGGAAGAGAAAGAAAAGGAAAAAGAAATATAAATACGAACAAGAGAATTTTGGCAATACCCATGTGTTGAAAAAAGAAAATTTTCAGTTTATTCATAGAAAATTAGATTTAGAGCTTTGTTCAAAAAAGGTAGATAGTTTAGAAAGGGAAAATTGCCAATATAATGTAGTAAAAAATTTGTTCATTTTGAAACTGTCTTATGATGGTTTCTTATGCTAGCTTGGTATAGCTCTCTAGTATGGGCAATAGGCTTAATCGATGAGGCAGACCACACTTGGGCACTCTTAAAGGCAGCTGAGTGATGTTGGATCTGTAACTTAGATAGTTTAATTATACCTTGTGCATATGCTTTGATCTAATAAAGATACCGGCGAGGCTGCTGATACAAGAAAAAAAAAAATTATAAACCTTTTTTGCTCATTTTTAAAGCTTATAAAATTTATATATACTTTTTTTTTAATAACTCTAATCCTAAACCCTACCCCTAATGCTAAAAAAACCCAAAAATATCTACCAAAAAAATTTTAAATTTTTCTTAAAAAATAAAAAAATTTTATTTTAATCTGATTTATTTTTAATTTGTTATATTAAATAATAATATTCTTTACTATCTTCTATTACTTGTTTTATATTATTATAGGTTTCTGACAATATAATAGTTAAGACAATATTATTTAAGTCATCTCTTGATACTAAACATAAATAACAAGATCTTCTTGATACAGATGACTAGTAAATGTTAGCCAATATACTAACATTAAACAAGTAAGCTAATAATATAGAAATTCATGAAATAAATATTATTATGTTATTACAAATAACAAAATTAAGCTTTGAATTATTAATAATGAATATAATTAAAATTTTTAAGTATTCATAAAAAATTTTTCTTTTTAATTTTTAAAATTTTTTAGATTTTTTTTGTTGTAGAATCTTTAGCTTTTAAGATAAATAAGTACCTGATTAAAGCTTTAGATTCTGGTTTGTTTTGCTGAGAGTTGGAAATATTATCTAAAATTTGTAACTAGTTTTATTTTTTATATATTAAACCTGATTAAAACTGATTTATAAAAAATAAAACTAATTTCAAACTCTAATTGTTATCTAGAGATAAAAATATAAGATGTTTATAAAATTTTTTTATAAGGTCTAGAGTAGTTGCATCAAAATAAAGGATTATCGATAGTAATTGATCAAGAAGTAATGATAATTTTCTTGTTTCTACTAGAAGCAATTATATTGCTCTTCAAAAATATAATACTCTACATTATTTTTATCTCTTTTTATTTTCAAAGTTAAATATCAATTGCTGATTTATACTATCAATTATTAATAAAGATTTTATTATCTTTATTAATAATCGATAGTATAATATATATTTAATACAGGACCCTGAGCAATCTATATAGGGGTAAGAGTTTTAAAAAATTACAAAAATAGAAAGATCTGTACAAAATAGTCAAAAATAAACAGATATCTTACTTAAAATAGAAAAGATCTACAAAAAATAGTCAAAAATAAGCAAATTATATTCTTACCTCTATATAGATTACTTTGAGTTTTTTTAATACCTTGATATATTATAATAGGAATTTCTTTAAACATTATATAAAGAATTGTTAAATTATCTAGAAATTTTTTTTCAATCATTGTTGTTGAAAGAAGGGACGAAACATCCAAGTTTGAATACTTATTAAAAATTTTATAAAAACATTACTAACCAAATTAAATAGTTGATATTTACTGATTATTTTCATAAATTCACAATATATATCATTGGGCTAGTCAACTTGTATAAATGATATAGGTTATTAAAAGCATTATCGAGTGAAGCTCTTTTGTAGTTTTCTGGATCAATATTGATAGATTCTATAAAAAGATCAGAATCTGCTAAAGAATGTTCTGTTTCCATATTAGAATAAGGTGATATATCTTTATTCTAATACATAATTATTAAACAATATTTTGTAACCAATAATAGCATTTATAACCAACTTACCTCATATGCTATAGAATTTTCATCATAGTTATTTTCTGTTTACATAGAACTAGATAAAGGTAATTCTGACATAACTTCATCTTTAATTAAATATAATCATTTATTATCGTTTAGTAAAACAGTAACGAACTTCTTATAATATGATAATAGTGGTAAATGGACAGTCTTTTCGGAAATCAAATAGGTGCAATGCTTGCATCTGTTGTATTAAGTAATTATAAGGCTAGTGGCAAACCACTTGGTGAGCATTGAATTTTATTAATAGTTTTATAAATTTCGAACATCATTTAATACGTTTATAACACTTTCACGAAAACTAGCAATGTTATCAACTGCTGTATCGTCTAAAATGCTGGCCATAATTGCAAAGACCGAAGGATTTTATTTCGAAGAAACTTTAACAGGATTTAAATGGTTAGGCAATGTAGCGATTGATCTGATAAAAAATGGGTATGAAGTGTTATTTGCTTATGAAGAAGCAATTGGATTCATGATTGGAGATATTGTTAAAGACAAGGACGGTATAAGCGCTTTAGGAGCTTTTGCAGAATTAACTGTACAATTAGACAAACGAAAAATGAAGATTTCAGAGTACCTAGATGAATTATATAAAAAGTATGTTTATATCTACATCAATCCGATAATTATAGAAAAGGGGCAAATTTTGTTTAATAAATTTTAGCTAAAATATCTCCATGACTACAAAACAATTTTTGATAAATGCCGCAGTTGAAGCTGGACATTGGACATATTTTTGATATGAAATGTTTAAAATTTTGTGGTGCGTTTTTTATAGTTAGGTTAGAATTTAGATTTAGGATTATAGTTTATAATAAAACATTACAAGTGGATTTTAATAGGCTTATATTTTAATGGATCAGCGCGACAATTTTTATCAAATTTTGACTGATAGTTGGAGACAGTTTAAAATTAAAAAAAAAACATAAGAAATGATTTGTTCCCTTTTCTACTGCCCCTATACTGTTTTTATGTTATGGTTGATATGATAACTATATTTCATGATTAGGTATGGATATTTCGTAACAGAAAATTCTT